CTTAGATCGAGTGTACTTAGGTATGGCAACAGGAGGTCCCAGCTCCGAGGGGAGCGCGGATCTTTCCCCGTTGCTCTCTCCGTTAATGATAAGTACAAAAATCCTTGCAATGATTTTTTGTGGAGGTCAAAAATGTCCTTTGCCCTTACACTTGTAGGGAATAATAATAGGTCACTATAAATATATAGATTTTTTATATAGAATTTTATTTTATTTTTTATAAATAAAAAAAGTAAAAATTTAAAATAATTTAAACAAATAAATACTTATATATATATAGTATGTCAATATCCAACTCTGGCAAATATATATTACTGTACATATAGCAATTGATTTATTGAATTGGATTTGGAGAGACTCAAAAAGGAATTAGGTTAGATAATTTAAATTAGATTAGGTTGACTAATTATATTGGATAAATATAAATTAATTGATAATATATTTATAAAAAATATATAAATAAATTTATATTTTTTTATTATATACAAATCCCTGCGGATCCTCATGAGTGAAGGAAAATTTTTGTGAAATTTTGTGGAAAAAAATACCTCCATTCTTGCTTAGTAGAAAATAATATTTTTCGAATCTTCATCTTAACGGTGGGAATTCCTACCGAGTTTCATGAATTTCAAAGGAAATTGTCATCCCTAAGATTACTAAATTGTAATTTTAATTTAATTTTTATTTTAAATTATATAATAAAAATAATTTTTTATTTATTAATATATCTCACTTACATATTATGTAATTTAAATTTACAATTTTTTAATTTTAGTAAAAAAAATTATTACTGAATTAATTAAGGTGCTCACTGGACTATAATTTTAATTATACTTTTTTTATTTTTTAATATGTTAAAAATAAATAAAATATATTTAAGATATGCATTTTTCTACATGTTAAGGATATTTTTTTATCATAAATATATAAATAAAAGTTGATATTAATTTTAGTTTTTATATCAAGTGAATGAATTTAATTAAACAATTAATAAATTAAATGTCAACTTTTACTTTTTTAATATAAATTTATGACAAGTAAGTAAGTATATTTATTACTCACTCTATTAATTTTTAGTAGATTTAGT